TCACAGTGGACTGAATTAAAAAATCAATTGAAATATAAATAAATATGATCATCCACTTTTACAAAGGCTAAAACAGAGCTCTAGCCTGACTCGCTCAACATTAAAGTTGCGATACAAAGAGTCTGGGTCCCATCTGCTCCAAGTAGGTGGCCCTCAAGAGTCATTAAAATTATCTTTTTAGAATTACAGCTCAGCAAGAGCAATCCGTTTTGTGCATCCAGAAATTATTGTCCAAATGCCCATCTGCATGTCCTTTTAAGAAACGTAGTTCAACAGAGGAAGTGCTGGTTCCTTGGGGAAATCATTCTCATCTTCAGCGTACATATGCTATGCTACAGTTAATCAGGCAAACTCTATTGATGTTCCCGGCACTGGGGCGTGATTGAATATTTAACAAACAAATGCCTCTGAGCCCAGAAGACAAACGGTTCAAGAGATTTGGGACTTTTAAAAAAATATATTAAGTTAAATCAAAAGCATTTTGTATTTGTTCTTCTGAGAAACAGATGAACAGACGATCGGAACATGAAAATGGCATGACAATTTCTTTACCCACTCTGACAAATTATATTCAATTTCTGTACAGGTTTTCAGTAGCTAAATGATAAACCAAAGGGGAAAACGTGGTTGTTTTTCAATCAGGTCATAGTAAGTTAAGTTTTAATGTGTATAACAAATGCATATGTTATATAAGAAAAAATTAAGAGCATCTCGAGCCCAAAGGTGTTACATATGTGAAATCAATCAACATCATCTATACATATGTCATCTATTTTAGTAAGTCAAAAGTGTTGCTAAAGAAAGGAATAGAGTTTCGCCAGTGTACCACCACTCCTATAAAATACAATACTAGGTTTTAGTCTCTATTTCCTCTCAAAAAGAGAAGCCGATCCAACTTAAGTCAAAATATTGGTCTCGTATATCTCTTGCCTTTCTCATTTATCCTAATTCCCCTTTCAGAATCTGGGATAAACCAGAATTGGTTCTGGGGCAGCCAAAGTAAGCAAGCCTTTTATACTCTGTCCAGATTCTCCAGTTACTTATCTTTTCCATATATTTAAAGTAGCATAGCAAACATATTATCGTAGAAATGCAGTACAACCAAGAGAATGCTCACCAGGGAACACAGCTAAATCTGTCCTCCTCGGCCCATCTCCAAACCAGGGTATATCTTAGGAAAAATGTGAGATGAATGTCCATATACATCTCATTAATATTTCTGTGTGTATAATCACGGTTCATGCCAAGCAAAAAGAAATAATTTTACACCTGAGTGAACTACTGGAAGGAAGAAAAGGCTGTACTCTGACCCACCCAGAGGTGCAAAAAATAGACTTCTTATAAAATAATGTGATTTTTAAGGTGTTTATAAAGTGATGTAGCCAACATCTGGCTTTATAGGCATCCCTGTAACAGTGCATCTGAAACTTTTGAAATGATATTTGCTACCTTCTCCCTTATGAAATTGTTACTTTTGTAGGTGTCTATCTCTCTGCTTTATGCCTTTTTTGCCTTTAAGACTTTGTGCCTCTCGAGGGCGATGCCCATGTTCTTCTTATCTGTGTACCTTCTGTAGTGCCTAGAAAATGCCTTACACCTAGCAGGAGCTTAGTAAATATTTACTGAACTCATTTTTATTGCAAAAGCTCCCAATTTCTGCCTATGTCATATACAAAATGGAATCCCAGAGGGATCCAAAGATTCTGGCCCAAATATGCATAATTATACCTTTTCTGCTTAACCAACCTTATTTTTAGGGCATATCTGCTTTAAATACATAGCACGTTTATTTTTTATTATGAAAATATGATGGAAATGAATGAGTAGAGGGTCTTTTGGTCACCGAAAACCTACTGCCCATTGTATATAATTAGTATAGAAAATTAGAGTTTTTTTGAAAGCTGGAGAAGAGATAACACCATCTAGCAACCAGACTGAATTAACAAGAAATCTATCCTATTTCCCCCAGTACCTTCTCAGAACTGGGGTTTGGGGGATGTTTGCTATATTTCCTGTTTACTTTCTCTTGACAATTCTACACTTTTGTTCTCGTTTCGTCTCTGTGAAACAAAAATTGCAAGAGCCCCCACTCCATTCCTTAGTAATTTAGGACAGTAGGCATTTTTCAGGTCTCTGTTATTCTTTCCAGTTTTCTGCCTGAAGACAGGGTTCTTCAACCATGTGAATAGCCTAAGGGTTCTCAGAATGGCGGTGAAGGATGAGCTCATTCAGTAAGTGGTGTACAGCAGAGAGAGTTGCCCAGTGCCTGCAGTTGAGGCCAATGCAGTACTGTTTCAAGGGCGGAAATATCCCAACCTTCTTATTTTTTCACTTGAGACATAAAGTAATACATGGATCGACATCCAGTCACCATCTTTTCTTTATCTGGGGCTCTGGAAATAGATTTCTCCATCATTTATAAAGAAATATATGTATGAGAAGATCAAGCCAGCATAGACAAAGCAAGTTTAGGCCCAGGATGAATAACAAGAAGATCCTTAGACACTCCACAGTTCTCATCCTTTATTACAGATAGGCAAGCTGTTTCTTAGGAGACGTTCTAAGACCCGAGTGTTCTAAGACCTTTCTTGAGAATACAGTTACCCTCTAATCCCAGCTACTTTCCACAAGAAGGGAAAATTGTTTTGTGACAGGATTAGGGATTGCAGACTCCATTTTAGAGATTTCCAGAGTCACTGAGTATAGCATGCCCTGCCTTCTACAGAGCCCTCATGTCAGCCCAGCCTCTCCATCACCACCACCACTGCCTCAACACAGCCACGCCAGCACCTCTAATCCTGATCGTTCAACACTCTCCTACTGGCCTCCCTCTCTACTGTCTCCACAGACGCTGCAGACACCACACAAACTCACACCCATGCCTTCTATCATGTGCCGTCGCTGATTCCCCTGAACCGCATCATGCAAGGACCCCCTCAAAGACCCCGAATGGCAGAGATTAAGTTCTGGGCTACCATTATATCCCCAGCATCTACAGTGCCTACGGCAATAGCCCTAGATATGATGAGGAAGAAAGGAAGAGAGGCAGAACTATGACAGACATACAGACAGATAGATCCCTCCTCTTCTGGGGATGCCTGGGTGGCTCAGTAGGTTAAGCGTCTGCCTTTGGCTCAGGTCAGGATCTTAGGGTCTTGGGATCAAGCCTTGAGTCACATTGGACTCCCTGCAGCAGGGAGTCTGCTGCTGCCTCTGCCCTACCCCCGCCCCCCAGCTTGTACTCTCTGTCAGGTGCGCTCTCTCTCAAATAAATAAATAAAATCTTAAAAAAAAAAATCCTCTTCTGGCCTGTGCACAACCTAGAGCAGGCTTTCTCACCTTTACACAGGCTTCACTTCTACTGAAGGGGAAATCTCACCTCAGATAATGATCTGTACATTGACCGTGATGTTGACCAAACACTCAGGAAGAAACTCAACAGTTCAATCAGTCACTCAAATATTTTGTTTAAAAATACCAAATTTTGGGGGGACGCCTGGGTGACTCAGTTCGTTAGGTGTCTGACTCTTGATTTCAGCTCAGGTCATGACCTTGAGGTCTTGAAATCGAGCCCCCTGTCAGGCTCCATGCTGAGCATGGAGCCTGCTTCTCTCTTTCCCTCTCCCTCTCTGCCCCCTTCAATTGTTCTAAAAAAAGTTTAAAAATAAAAAACGAAATTTGGGGAATAACTAGATATTTGGTTCTGTGTGGCTATAAATGGAAGGGTAGGGAATAGCTTACTGAAACTGAATGTAAGATATACATTCTCAGACAGCAAATAATGTCTTAAAATTATAATCTGCTTTTTGGAGTGCCTGGGTGACTCAGTTGGTTAAGCATCTGACTCTTGATTTTGGCTCAGGTCATGATCTTAGGGTCATGAGATCGAGCCCTGCATTGGGCTCCATGCTCAGTGGGGAGTCTTCTTGTCCCTCTCCCTCCGCCACTGTCCCTCCCCAGGCTTGCATATGTGCTCTCTCTCTCTTTCTCTCTCTTGCTCTCAAATAAATAAATAAAATCTTTAAATTTATATATAGATATATATACTCTGCTTTCATTGATTTTTTCTGTCCTAAATTTATCATTTTAATATCCACTTATTTATTACATATTTAAGTAAATAAAACAAATTGGAAAAATCTACTATGGCAAGTATAAGCAATGATCACATTAGTTCTTTAAATTTCTTATTTTATAGCAGAAAAATCCACTAACTGAAAAAGCACTGTATTTCTCATTTCCATTATTTACTTTCACAGCCATTGATTTTATGTTTGTAGTTCCTCCTTTCTCAGATTTAAAAATTAAAATTTTTGCTTTCCTAGGGATAATCTCAGAACTATGTACTTGTAAAATTCATGTAGCTTTCCAATTTCATGATGCTCATGTCTTATGGAAAAAAAATACTTCTATAATTGAAATTTTCATGTAGGAAAAATATTTCACAAAACAGGTCTATTATCTATTGCTCTTGAACAATAAAAATTCCCTACAATAATTTAAGACAAATATACTTTGATAGGCCAACTTATTTTTAGAGTAGCATTTCCCTGCTTAAATAAGCTAAATACTGTAAGTTCTAGCTATTTCTCTTCTCATGGAGTTAGCTCATTAGGAAGTCAAAGTGTACAATTCTTACGTAACTTCTGGTGGGTCCTCTTCTTTCACATGCTCTTTTGAAATGACTATATTTTTAGTGACTACTTCCTGAATGGCTCTCTCGTAACTCAGTGGTAAAAAAAAACATGCCTTACCAAGACCAGATACCACATAGCAAGGCATCTTAGCAAGCGATTTATACCTATTGCACTGCTGTTTTTAGTTACTCATATTTTTATTGCAGAATAAAATAGTGTGTGTGTATATATATATATATATATATATATATATATACTTTTGCTTTTATTCAGAGAATAAATGAACTTTTTAAGAACTGTTTTCAGTAGCTTATTCACCACAGATTTTGGCTCAATGTGGTTTCACTTTGTTCCCCTATGTAGGGTAACGACACTATCCAGGGTTCCCCGAGCCCAACAACTAGTCCTTCAGGGTTAACTCAGCTAACATTAGAGAACACGTTGGGGAAGGCTGCAAGGCGGACAGATAAAGGACCTCTAAAAAGTGCCTACGCAGAAGCAGGAGCATCAGAAACCCAGAATTCCTTGGCAAAGCAGATAGATAGAAAAGACTTTCAAATGAGTGTGGTGCCTACACCATGCCTTTCTCCCCCGGGAAGAAGTGAAGCCTCTCAGAAAACTCCAGATCCCGTTATCAAAGCAAAGGACCGACCAGTCCATCAAGTACCAGCTTCAATAAACAAAACCTCCCTAAAGGAGATCTCGGGGGAAAAGTTGAGACCGATTCCTGAAGTATCTGTAAGTGGCTTCGCTCTGGTTTGCATAGGCGGGAAGCACGTCCTGCTCTGTTCTGTTCTGTCCCACTTCGCACACGTTTTCAGCAGGACCTATTTTTCATCATTTGGGTGATCGGTAATGTATTTGCCTTCCTATTCAGATGTGTTTCAGATCAGTAGCAGCAGCTGTTAAAGAGTATATTGTACATCCCAGTGATAATAGAATGCCTCATGTTTTTAATGAGAAAGATAATTATCATAATAGCTTTTTTTATTTCCCAGTTACTTCTCATAATTTTAGTTATCACTGCCTGCAAATTATAAATGAAGATCTTATTTTTGAGCCAAAAGCTTGCCAGTGAAATTGACAGATTTTCAATAACAGTATACATTAGGAGCCATAAAAACATCATTATTCTATTCACTTTCTGGTCTCTTTGCAGCAGTTTCCCAAATAATAAATGGTATGAGTGAAGGTTAACAGTAAAGTAGTGTCATTGAATAAATCCCTAGGCTAGTTTGGTGGCTATATTCATGTCCATCAGATTGCTTTTCCTCCTTCCTGTGTTAGTATTAGGCTTCCTTCAGTCCCTCCATAGCTGCACTTAGAAACCAGAGAACAAATGAACTTATATTCCATGTTTTAACACATTAAAGGTTTTCTGTATTTGTCATGTCCTAAGTATTCTGTATGTTTTACACTGTAAAGCTTTGGTTCAATTAGGTTGGGAGGATTGTTCCCTCACACAAGTCACAGACATATACATCATCATTAACAGAATAACTAATATATCTTAAATCCTTGCCATGTGCCAGTCACTCTGCTAAGCCTTTTTTCCATGAAGCATTTCATTTAATCCTCACAGTGACCCTGAGAGGTAGAGACCTTCATCCTCATTTTTTTAGATGAGGAGACTGAGGTTCAGCGTGGTTATGCAGGGAGTTCCAGGACAACAGCTGGTTAGCTGAAGAGTTAGAACTTGAAGCTAGAGTGTCTGAGTCCAGAACTGCTGCCTGGGTCCACCGCGCTGGGCTGCATAAACATGTGCCGACTCTCATGTAAATGGCATCCCTCCTCAAGAAAGACCCAGATGAAACTGGAATGTGCGTTCTTCTTATTTCTCATGTTTGTATGCATGTGTGTATGCGTGCCCACAGGAACTTAGTGAATCACCTAACATAATGAAAATGGATTTGTTCTATGGTGATTTAGGATGAAAGTGGTCAGTAATATTTTTGCATGTTTTTCTTTTTTTCTTAAATATTTCTAAAACAAAAGTTCTACCTAACTGTATTTTTTTTTCCTTTGGTGTGCTCATAAGTAGAATGCAGCTAATAAACTAACCTTCCAGATTTATTCTATAACACTGCTTCCCTTGACTGCAGCCAGAACTGGGCTGCCAAAAACGGAGCCAAAGCAAGTCTCTAAGAAGCCTTCCACTCCGTTCTCCCCTAATTTTTTTGCCACCACCCTTCTATTAGGTAAAATCTCTCATCCTAATATATCCAAAAGATTGCTTATTTTTAATCTTTCCATCTTTCTGTAGAAATAAAACCAGAGCACAAAAATCAGCTTGGACACTTGAGGCACAAATGGACTTTGAGTACCTGGCCACTTGGCCAAGTACACTGCCTGAAAAGTAGGGGAAAATGAAAGGTGGGAGAGAGAGCAGGAGACTTTCCCTTACCCGTCCTCTTCATTTGAGAGGCTCTGGGGATAAGCCAGTTCACAGAGACTATTCGGGTTGCTCCAGGAGACCCTTCTCACAGCTGCTCGCTGCCGATTACAAAGCGCTCACCCGACTCCTGAGCCTTTGCCAGGCGCCCCCTGTGCGGCATCTGCCATTTTTACAGCTAAGGAGACTGACAGAGCAATCCCCTCAGAAGGGTGGAAGAGGGAAGGAGCTTTATCTGTGTTGAGGGGATAAAGGCATGAAGGCACTGCTTACCATTTGTGCAGAGAGGTTTGACTTCAGTGTCAAAATTCAGGCTAAGAAAATGTGATCTCTAACAACCCACATGATCACTACAGTCTGTGGCTCACACTTGTGAATGTGATAACCGCAATTTAATAGGACGTAAAATTATGGAAGGCATTGGCACTCTGCCCCCATACCAGGGTGAATTTACAGTGGGAATGGAGTGTTCTTCCAGAAACACCGTTTACAAAAGAAATTTATGGTCATAGTGGAAGGGTGCTAATACTTGACATTCTCTCCATTTAATAACTGCAGCTAAGAATCTGAAACAAGTTTCCTCAAAAGAGTGCTGTGTGCTTGCTAACTCCACAGAGGGATTTTTTTCCCCCAGATCCCAGAAACCCATGGCAGTGACTTTTAATAATTTACTAATATTTAATTCACACAATACAGAATTCAGCTTTTTTTAGTACACTCATGGAGGTGTGCAACCATCACTACTCATCTTAGATCATTTTTATCACCCCCATTAATAGTCATTCCTCATTCATTGCTTCCCCCAAACTCCCAGAAGCCACTAATCAACTTTCTGTCGCTATGGATTTGCCTATCCTAAACAGTTCATATAAATGAAATCAGACTGTATGTGGCCTTTTGTGTCTCATTTCTTTCATTTAGCATAATGTTTTCAAGTTCCATCCATGTTGTAGCATTTCATTTCTTTTTATGCCTGAATAATAATCCATTATATGGATATGCCATATTTGTTTATTCATCTATCAGTTGATAGTTCGTTGTTTCCACTTTTGGGCTATTATGAAAGATGGTGCTATGAGCATTCATATGCACATTTTTGTGTGGACATATGTTTTCATGTCTCTTGGGTACATACCTAGGAGTGGAATTGCTGGGTCATATGGAACTTGATATTTAACTTTTGAGGAACTGCCAAACTGTTTTCCAAAGCAGCCGCACCATATTACATTCCCACGGGCAAGACAAGTTGAGGGGGTTTCTCCACATCTTAGTCAACACTTGTTATTGTCTGTCTTTTTCATTTAAACCATCCTAGTGTGTGTGAGGTGGTATCTCATTGTAGTTTTGGTTTGCATTTCCCTAATGACTAAAGATGTTGAGCATCTTTTCATACCCTTATTAACCCATCTGCATATCTCCTTCGGAGAAGTGTCTATTCAAATCTTTGGCCTATTTTTTTATTGGATTATTTGTCTTTTTATTGTCCGGTTGTAAGAGTTTGGATACAAGTTCCTTGTCAGATACATGATATGCAAATATGTTCTCCCATTCTGTAAATTGTCTTTTCATTTCTTGGGGCTATCTTTTGAAGCATGGAAGTTTTTCATTTTCTGAAGTCCAATCTATCTATGTTTTTCTTCTGTTGCTTATGCTTTTGGTGTCATAGCTAAGAGCTATTGCCTAATCCAAGGTCACAGAGATTTATTCCTGTTTTCTTCTAAGAATTTTATAGTTTAACTCTTAAATTTTGTCCTATAATCCATTTCTAGCTAATTTCTGTCTCTAGTGGGAAGCAGGGGTTCAATTGCATTTTTTTTGCATGTGGATATTCACTTGCACCAGCACTATTGGTTGAAAGAGTATTTTTTCCCAATGAACTGTCTTGTCACCTTCTTTAGAAATCAATTGACCATACATGTAAAAGTTTATTTCTGACTTCCCAGTTCTGTTCTATCTATATGTCTATCCTTACGCAGTATCACACTGTCTTGATTACTATAGTTTCATAGTAGGCTTTGAAATCAGGTAGTGTGACTCCTTCAACTTTGTTCTTCCTTTTCTGGATTGTTTTTGCATTTCCATAGGAATTTGCGGATCAACTTGTCAGTTTCTGCAAAAAGGGCAGCTGAGATTGCATTACATCTATAAAACAATTTGGGGGATATATCTTAACATCTTAATAATATTAAGCCTTCCAATCCATGGATATCTTTCCATTTATTTGTGTCTTTCATTTCTTTTGGCAATGTTTTATGATTTTCAGCGTACAAGTCTTGCACTTCTTTTGTTAAAGTTATTCCTAAGTATATTTTTTGATGCTATTATGAATAGAATTGTTCTTAATTTTATTTTTTATTTGTTCATTTCTAGTGTTGATAGAAATGCAATTTATTTTTATATTGATCTTATATCTTGCAACCTTGCTGAATATTAATTAGTTCTAATAGTGTTTTTGTGAATTCCTTAGGATTTTCTATATACAAAATCATGTCATTACAAATACAGATAGTTCTACTTCCTTTCCAATCTGGATGTCTTTATTTCTTTTTCTTGCCTAATTGCCCCCACAAATGGATTTCTTCTGAATGAAAAATTTTTCTTTCTTTCAAGATATTTAAGATTTAATACTTCAACTACTGTGGCCCAGTAGTGAATTCTAACGCAGACATGATGAGCTCAGTTAGGCCTGGAAGGATTCTACTGGTATGATGCATGGGAAATGTACTAGATGCAAGAGGAAAATTTTATTTTTCTGTTCTTTTTTTTTTTATTCTTATGTTAATCCCCATACATTACATCATTAGTTTTAGATGAAGTGTTCCATGATTCATTGTTTGTGCATAACACCCAGTG